TTTTTAATAAAAATAGCAAAAGACAAAACTTTTGTTGATATTGAAATATGGAATGCAACTATTTCTTTTTCTTTTTTTTTATGATAGAGAATAACTTCGAGTGTTAGTTTTCTTATTTATCTCAAATAAATAAATGGATTTAGACAAACGACAAGAACATATTTATATATATTTTTATGTTGTTTTTTCTAGTACACAATGATCGTATAATTCATTTAAAAAAAAAAGGAAACGATACAATTGAAAAAGAAGAAATGAAATCGACACAGATGTGTATATATAAATCGTAGAATAAAAATTTACAGATCGAACAGAATTAAATTATTGCGTTTCACTATGAGCAGTTGGCTGTTGTTGTGGTTGCTGAAGAGGATTCATCATAGGAGGTGGCATTGAATACATCATATGTTGTTGTTGTTGTTGTAAATTAGGATCAACATAATATGCACCTGTTGGTTGTTGTGGAATATACGGCATCGATTGTTGGGTTTGTGGTAGTAATTGATTATATAGTTGTGGTGGAGGTTGATACATAATAGGTTGTTGTTGTGAAGGTATAGGTGATTGTGATTGTAAACCTGGATGAACTTGATAATATGGTTGAGGTGGCATTTGAGGTTGTTGTTGATACATTTGATTGGCAAGTTGAACTGCATTTGTTTTAGCTTGGACTGCTCGAATACGACCTTCTTCCATAAGACGATGATATAATTCCATTGCTTCACGTAAATTTTTATTTAAGTCTTCTAATTGTACATGTTTACGATCAACTTTTTCAAGTTCATGATCAATAAGTGGACCCATGGCATAACATGTATCTTCAAGCATAAGCATTTCATTTGAATCAGCTTCAATTTCACCGGTTGGATCAGCATTTTGTAACATAGCTAAACAACGATCAATAAGACGTTCGTCAATAACAACTTGACCTTTAGCAATATCATTTTGACGTTCTTGTTTTTGGTTTAAATCCTAAAATAAATAATTATATGACATCAATTTATTTGTTTTCTTTTTTGTGAAACACAATATGAAATAAGACTGTATGTCGAAAACTTCGACTGACTAGAGTAGATCAGTGTTCAGTACATGATAAATTCAACTTAGGTCGAAAATAAGAAATATCGAAAAAAACATTTATAAGAATAAAAAGTAAAATTCTGAAAAAAGACTTTTGAAAAATGTTTAAAAACATGACATTATCGTACGATCAGTATCAGCTCATAAGATGTGCGTGTGACTGAAGAGTAAACACACTTATACTTTAATTGCATGTTATCATAGTAAAATAAATTGTTGTAATTATTAAAATCACTGGAATACACGGAATTTAATCAATTTTATGGAAGCAAAAGAAACACATGTCGAGATTAATTATACTTCAATAGTCTTCTCATGCATCGAAACAGAAAAAAAACCGAATAATAGCATTAAAAAATCGAATAAGCACGTTGTATAATATGATATAATAATCATCTCATTACAGCATCTGATATACTCAACGATTTCTCTTTTATTGTACAAAAAAATCTTATGATTGTACAATGATTATATTATTTGAGTTCGAACGATTAATATTTCAAAATATTTTTGTTTGCCTTTTACTTCTTCTTTTTAAATAATAAACATATGATTCAAATTGAGCTGCTTGATTTTCAATTTTCTTAACAAAAAAAAAATATTCACAAGTCTTCATCTCAGTTTTCAATATTTTTAGTTTCAACCAAAGTTGGAACAGTCAGTCTAGTGAATGACAATTTTTCACTCAAAACATACATGCCTAATGTAAAAGGAATGTTGAGATATAGAATTAGAAACTCGAACCCATCATAGACATTTTTAGCGACGTCTCTTCTTCATCACAAACGCTTTAGGAAGGTTGCCTCTCTACATTACAGACTATGATAGACGCTATTGATACACAATCACAAGTTGTATATCAATAAAATCATGTTATAATTCTTACATTAGCGGTTTTGTTGATTGTGCTAGTTGATTGACTAGGTGAATCGATTTGTTGTTGAAGATTTTTAGTAACAAAATTTGCTGGAAATAAACCTTCAACACCATTATTGATTCCTTTCCACCAATGTTGATCACTATCATCGGTAATACTTAAAATATCACCGGCTTTAAATGTTACTTCATTATCTTCAGCTGCTTCAAAATCATATAATGCTTTGACTTTTTTTTCATTTCCATTCATTGTTATTGTTGTTGTTGTTGTTGTCATATTTGTTGATGCTGGTTGTTGCATTGATGGATAAAGAGAATTAGTAATTGGTTGTTGAGATTTTGATTGATTGGCTTCTTGCATTGATAGAGCAACTAAACAAATAAAAAAAAAATATTGTTTTCATAGAAAATAATTAATTGACGAAGAAATGTTTTTCTTTAGAAAACTTACTAGCTTTAGCAAATTCTTCTTCTTCACGTTTAGCTAATAGTTCATCTTGAGTTTTTCGTACAGCTGGAGATGATGTTGATGCAACAGTTGTTGATATTGATGGATTATTAGGACCATCAATAAATATATAACCTTTTTCTGTTGTTAATTTTTTATAAGTGGCACCAAGCATAGCATATTGTGCTTTATCTTTAAATTCTGGATCGTCCATCCATTGTTTTAATAATGAACCTATACGATTACGTACAGTATTTTCTGTCCGTGAATCATCAATAATTTCAACAAGTACATTCATTGTTGCACGTGATGTGAACAATTGATGAAATATTTGACCACAATTTTTAACAGCTGCATCGAATAATGTTAATGTATTCATTTGTAATTTTGTTCGTCGTGTTTGTTTAAGTTTTTTTAATATTTGATCAAGTAATTCATTAGGTTTTATTTGACCATTTTTAACATAATCACAAACCTCTGAAATAAATAAATAAATAAATAACAAATTTATGGTTCATTTTTTTTTTCTTTTACCCAATATTCGATCCCAATTCTCTTCAGTATTACTTTCGTTTGTTGCTGCTTCGAGAGCAACATGAAAAGACTTATTTGCCATAATTGTTCACTTAAATGAAATAAATAATTGTCGACATATTTTTATATCTACAAAATAAAACGTATAAGGTATGACTCATTTTTATCTTGACGAATCACAAGCATTGAATACTTTTACTCATTTCTATCTCGACAGTTTCCGCTCTATGACATAAACACAAGATTTTTTTTTTTTCATAGTATAAACAAAAACTAGTTTTCTATCCTTGTTATGATCACGTGATCGATCACTAACCTAATCTGAATACTAACGAATAGAACAATCGAGAATATTTCGAAAAATATTCTACTGTTATCAAATGTTAAATATTATTGAAAAAAAAATAGCCGTATTCGAATATAACAAATAAAGAATTCATTGTTTTCATTTGCATAAAAAATAGTAAAATAACTGATCAATCTTTTCGACGTCAAAAAAAAAAATTTTTTTCTACCAAATACGCATTCAGAATTTGATGAAAAATATTACCATAAATTATATTCTACATGTTCATCATGTATAATAAATTGATTATTAATAAAAGAAAAAAAACAAACTTATCCACATAGTAATAATATTTTATGTAAAATGTATCATGAAATAACCTTTGATATATATGAATTGTGTGAGAAAACAGCAGTAACAAAAGTTATACTATTATCTTTCAAGATAACAATTATCATGACACATGTATGAGGTATACAAAATGTAAAAATGATACTATCAGAAAAAATGTTCTTACAAAAAATAAACATAGCTGTTTATTCTATTGATGACGTTATAGAGTATTATGTAAAGAATAAAGCTATCGATTATAAAAAGAATTGATTCAATTGTCAACTTACAATCGAAGGTCATGTACTGTAAGCTAAAGAAATTGATAAATATGTATGGTTTAAATGAATATTCTCTCACTATTAAACTAAATATTTAAATTTCAAGGTATTTACAGTCAATGTCATATGTCTGTACTTCAAAAGTACAATAGCATTGATTTTGCTATTTTTTCGTTATGGTTGAATACAAAAATATACGATTTACCTTGAAAAAAACCATCAATAGTACATATATTCAAAATCAACTTTACGAAAAGTTTCAAGATGCTATCATTGCTTCATATAAGAGTAATAGTAGAATTTTATCGAATTTAACATTTTTGAACATGGATCTAGTTAGAGGAAAAAATTCAGATCCAAATCTGATTGAATCACGATCATAGATAGATTATTCTGACTGTTTTAAAATTACTTTTGAATTTGTCTGATATTTTTTTTTTTTCTCATATAACTTGCAGAACTCTTTTCAAACATGATGAACAAAGAAAAATCAATGCTACCACTATTTCGAAGTCTAGACACAAGACATTGACTGTAAATATGTTGAAATTTGAAGATTTCTATTTGTTCAGACTATTATCAACTAATATTTAAAAAAGCTAGTTTGACAGTGAGAGTATTCATTTGATCAATTATTCAATTCTTTTTCGACAGGATAGATGAGTCAAAGAGGGTTCAAAGTTTAAATAATATTAAACTTCACTTAAGTCAATAATTAGAAATATAGAAAAAAAAAATCAAATTAATTTATCTTCATCCAAAATTGATAACGATGTTCATTATCATAAATCATCAATAAGTAGAAATCGAGAGATTTAATGACATATAAAAAAAAAAAGTCATCTACAAATAAAGAGAAACTTCTGCATTAAATAATTTAAAAGAAAAAGATAATTATATAGCCTAAGAATTTTAATTTAATATCGATGTTATAAGTTCATAAATCTAATTTCACCCGATTCATTTACAATGAATAACAAGGTACAAACAAAAAAAAAAATGTCATTTCTCTTTTCTTTTTTCTCGACTGAATAAGTTTACTCGATGTTGAAGCAAATAAAAAGCACCAGTGATAACAAAAACAAAACAATATGAATAAATAAATTACAAAAGCAAAACAACAATGGTCTACGGAATGAATGAATCATGAAATAAATTTTTTTTTTTAAAGTTCACGTTTTAATCCAATATTTTTCTCAATAAAATTAACTAAATCATTTATATCACGATTTCCATCATATTTCACCGGTTTATTATTTGTTGGTACAATATATATTGTTGGAAAACCGGTGACATCAAAACCTTGTGGAATATCATTAAGTGTAGCATCCATTTGAGTTAAAATAATATTCGATTGACCGGCAAGACGTTCAGCAAGTTTGCTATACGTTGGTTTAAATTCATTACAATGTCCACACCTAGAAAAAAAAAAGAATCAAATACACTTTGTATATCTTTTACTCAGAAATGATTATATATGGTTTAGAAAATAAAGAGCTTTTCGACGAAATACACTTGAGGGAAATGTCTTGCTCACATTTTTTTTAATTAAATAATATCTTGTGCTGTATATCATTCAATGTAGTTTCACTTGCTAATTCTAAATATATACTGTATGGTTTAGGAACGTTTATGCTTATTATGATGACAGAAGACACAGAATAGAATGTACTGTGTCAGAATTTGAGAAGATTTGGATTGGTATACGCTCATTTTACGGAACTTAGTGATTCTGAAAGTTAGTTTTAAAAAAAAACTATAATTGTATCTTTCTCTCAGAAAATACACTTCTTCGATGACTAATATCAGACGATATACAGATTCAAATATTTACCGGCCTTGTCAATCAACTAGTTTTAGTATGTTAAAAATTAATTTTCTCATCGTTGTCAGTGTTTTTAAACTAAATTTTAAATTCCGGTTGTTCCATTGTACTTATAAAACTCATAACAAAAAAGTTTTAAGTTATTAAATAGTGCATGCCTCAATGTATATTTATCATTATTTAAATCGATGAAAGGATAACTTTCATTTGTTTTTACTTAATGTTTATCTGAATGCATACTATAGTACAATAGTGTAAGAGCTGGAAAATATCTCTCAATTAAGACACAGGGTACGAATAAAAGAAAAGCTGTCTTACACATCTCTAATGAAAAATAAATCTTACCATGGTGCATAAAAAAAGACTACAACATTCTTTGTATTATCTTTAACAATTTTATCAAAATTTTTTCCAACAAGAATATGTATTCCATTGATAATTGATTGTTTTGGTAGTGGTTGAGATTTAAAATAGGGCTTAATTTTTTTTTTATCTAATCGATTAACAAAATCTTCAAATGATTCAGATGTAAATTCATCATTATCTTCCATACGATATTTTAAACCTTGTAAATCATAACAACCAACATTAACATCTTCACCTGATTCTTCAAGACCAAATTCTTTTAATAATGATGACAGTTTTTCTTCATCAGCTATAGCAAATGTATATTTATCTTTATAATTATTAGCAACTTTAAGTATTTTATTTCGCCAATATTGTGTTCGTTCACGATAATCAAATGAAAAATCAAGATCATATATAACAATACATATTGGACGTCGAGATAAATAAATATTACGTTGATTTTCTTGTGTTAGTATACCAACTAATGGTATTTTATGTTGTTCAATAAATTGTTCAATATCATTTTCAAGTGCATTCTCCTAAAACAGACAATAAATTGTATATAAAATAATAAATGAAAGAAGATTCAGAAATATTGAAAATGGTTCTCTTAAGAAACTTGATTCCTTCTATGTCAAACTATTAGATAACACGTCTGAGAATGTGCCCTGGTAGAATTAGTTATATAGCAGCTATTTGAAAATTCATTTTTTTGACCTAAACCTGAGAAGAACAAGAAGTAAATCTTAGAGCGAAGAAAAAAGATTGTTAAAATTTTTGAAACATATATGAGCCTACTCCATTTTAGATACTGATTTAGAATATTATATTAGTTTTCGGAATGTTAATTTTCTTATCGAAATCTACAGAATACTAGTAAAAAAAAAAGGCTTAGAATCTTGTGTTCGAGAACAGTGCCCTTAGGAATTCTTGCAGTGGTTAATCATTTCTCTCTTAATATTTTCACACCATTTTGAAGCGCTTGAAAAGTACTATTAAACTAGATGAAAATTAGACTGAATAAGAATAAAATTGTTTGAGGTTGATACAGATTTTCATTGAGCAATACCGATATTAGAGATACACATTAGGACAATGTACTCATGAGAAGCCATATCGAATAGTGTTTTTTTTCAGATCGATAAATAAAAAAGAACTGGTCATGCTCAGAGATGGGACCGGTTCGGTTTTTAACCGAACCGAACCGACCGACCGTAACCGAAATCGGTTCGGTTGGAGATTTTTAGAGAATTCGGTCGGTTACGTTCGGTTCGGTTAGAGACTTTTTCGGTTACGGTCGGTTCGGTTAGAAATTTTAAAAAATTCGGTCGGTTACGTTCGGTTCGGTTAGAAAGAATCCACATAATCCTTTCATTTGAGTTCAATGGACTTTTTCAGTGAAACATAAGAAGAAAAAAGAATATAATCGTACAACAACTAGCCGTTGCTCGCAACGCGGATTATCTCACATATTTTTAAAATTTGCCCTGAGAGGTAAGGAAGTTATAATACAGTAAGAAGATCCAATAAATAATCTTTATTCTTTGCTTTCTCTAAGTGTTCATTATTTTTAGTTGCTATTATTTGATTTGTTGTTGCTAATTTATAAAGCACTAATACCCTAACTAAAATAAGCTAAACTTCGCTTTCTCTAAACTCGGTTCGATTACGAAATTTTTGAAATTCGGTCGGTTACGGTCGGTTCGGTTAGAAATTTTTAAATATTCGGTCGGTTACATTCGGTTCGGTTAGAGATTTTTTCGGTTACGGTCGGTTCGGTTAGAAATTTTAAAAAATTCGGTCGGTTACGTTCGGTTCGGTTAGAGATTTTTTCGGTTACGGTCGGTTCGGTTTGGCAAAAATGCCAACCGATCCCACCTCTGGTCATGCTCAACAACGAAGTATAGTATGACAGCACAAACGAATGTTATAGATTTAATTCTGCTGAGGATTACTTTAGAACACTCTGAGTACAAATTTGACTTGACAAAAACAATATTTCTCTAGAGGACTGATTTCATTAGTTATCGATTTGTTTGCTTTCTTTTTTCTTTTGAATTACCTTATTGAAAATAAATTTCTCATTTTCATATTTTGATCGAACATCAGGATGATGTTGAAGAACTATAGCTGGTGTTTGTACATCATTTAATGTTGATAATTTTTCAAATGTATGTCCAAATTGAAAAATTTTTCGTTTTTTATATGCATAATCAATAAATAATTGATATAAATGATCTTGTTCATTATTAAAAATACCTATTATAATTGGTTGATCATTTTTTACAAATAAATTTTTATAATCATTTATATTTCGTATTTCACGACTTGGTAATGATAAAAATTCTTTCATAGATGAAACAATACCATGTTCAGTTTGTTCACCTTCATATACTATTCGTTTACCACCTTTACGATAAACAAATAATGATGGATATCTTTAGATTAAAAAAGATGAAATTTAGAAAAAAAAAAAAAATAGTTTTCTATCATACCCAGTGATATTATGTGTAGCAGCTAATTCACCTTCAACTGTAGCATCAACTTTAGCTAAACGAATGTTTGTATCTTTTTTTAATAATGTAGCTGCTTTTTCAAATTTAGGTTCAAGTCTTTTACAATGACCACACCATGGAGCATAAAATTCAACTAATGTTAATTCTTCATTTAAAATAAATTTTGTAAAATTTTCATTTGTAAGAATAGCAACATCTGATGGTGGTGGTGTCCAATTTGGATTAGCAAAATCTTTCATATAATCAGCTATAGCTGAACCTGGTTGACGAGGACCATCATAATCGATTGGTTTTGGACTATTTTTATGAAAGATTTTTAATGTTGGATAACCTTCAATAGAATAATCTTGTGCTAATGTTTGTTCAACTGTAGCATCAATTTTAGCAAACATAACAGGATTTTCAGCATCTTTCATTAAACGTGCAGCTTCTTCATAATGTGGTACTAATTGTTTACAATGATGACACCTTAATATGAAATCAAAATGAATAAAATATTCACATTATCAAGATTTAATTAAAAAGACATTTTTTTTTTTGCTAAACAAAACAAAAAAAACTAGATGGTATTCGAGTTTCGACTCGAATACGAAATGCGGTGCGAAGCACACGTGCGGAGAATTCGAAAAACGAATTTCGAATCGAAATCGAATAATCTCTCTGAATATCATCACAATTTGTTCTCACATTCTACGTCAAGGTTCAGAGATAATTGAAGATTTTTCTGAGTTAGATACAATTGAAGAAAAAAAACATTTTTATCGAACAGCTGATCTAACGTAGATCGGACCTGAAAGGCATCCATTATGAAATTGATCACTAGAGGAACTCTACTAAAGCGTATCGACAGACTTCTAAAAACTGTTGTTTATTGATCGATTCATTATCTCAATGATTCATTATCTACTATCAGCTGTATTTACAGCTGTTTGACATATGAGAAAAGTAAATAGCGCCTAACTTTGTTTTATTTTTTCAATTTTAATTATCTCAAAACGAAAAGCAAATAAATAATTTCATATTTGTCATTTTTGGAAACCGATTATGAGGAAATTAAGCATTTTCAGAACAATATCAATACAAAAGTTACGTGCTCGATCTCGATACTTTGGGTTTGCGTTTCAACGACTGTTTTGTGAGTTTCCATTTTCGAGATCATTCGGTGACAAAATGACAAGTTTGATGCGTACGTATAGTAAAAAAGAAAGAAAAAAAAAAAAACTCGCGACGGACTACATAAATGCAGTGCTTCGCACCGCATTAAAAACTCGCGACGGACTACATAAATGCTCCTGCTTCGCAGCGCATTAAAAATTCATTATCTTCTATCAGCTGTAATTTACAGCTGTTCAATATAGATCTAAACAATGTGGCGCCTAACATTGCTTTGTATTTTCGATTTTAATTATCTCAAAAGTGAACTTTGTCAAAATCGTGTTTTTGGAAGGCCTTTTTTGTGCGAAGCAGACGTCCGATTGCAGATTGTAAAAAGAATTGAAGTATTTCAATCTCGATACTTTAGGCTTGCGTTTGAACGAATAATTTACGAATTGTGGTTCTCGAGATCATTGCGACACAAAACAACGAGTTGATGTGCGTACGTCGAGAAAGTAAAAGAAAAAAAAAAAAAAGAAAAAAAGAAAACTAGATGGTATTCGAGCTTCGCTTCGAATACGAAATGCCCTGCGAAGCACGAGTCTCTCGAATCTTCGAAAAAACGAATTTCGAATGGAAATTCGATAATCGCTCTCCGTATCATCGAAATTCGTTCTCACATTCTACGTCAAAGTTTAAAGATAATTGAAGATGTTTCTGACTTAGGGATAATCAATAAAAAACATTTTTGTCGAACAGCTGCGCTAACCTAGATCGGACATGAAAGTAATCCATTATGAAATTCGTTACTACAGAAACTCTGCCAAAGCGTATTGACAAACTTCTAGAAACCGTTGTTTATTCATCGATTAATTATCTCAATGATTCATTATCTATGATCAGCTGTATTGCAGCTGTCTTATATTCAAAGAGAAAAAAAACGGCGCCTAACTTGTCTTTCAGTTTTTGTTTTAATTATCTCAGAGCTCAAATTATTCAAAATCGTCGTTTTTGAAGGCAGTTTATGAGAAGATTCGGCGCCTTTTGGATAATTTGATCAAAGATTTCACGAGTTCGATGTCGATTCTTTCACTTCACGTTTCAACTGAACTTTTCTGACTTTCCGTTCTCGAGATCATCGCGACACAAAATGACGAGATTTTATGCGTAATATACGTGATTAATTATGTATAATCACCTGTATTGTCAGCTGTCTTGTATTTGAACATCATGAATGGCGCCTAACGATTGTTTATGTTTTCGTTTTAATTATCTCAATGCAAAATTTTGTCAAAATCGTGTTTTTGGAACTCGATTTGTGAGAGCACCGAACGTCGCAAACATGATTTGAAAAAAGATGTTCCATGTTCAGTGTCGATACTTTCACTTGTCGTTTCAACGAAAGTTTTCCGACTTTCCGTTTTCGAGATCATCGCGACACAAATTGACGAAATTTTATGCGTACGTCGAGAAAGTAAAAGAAAAACTAGATGGTATTCGAGTTTCGACTCGAATACGAAATGCGGTGCGAAGCACGAATCTCTCGAATTTTCGAAAAAACGATATTTCTTAAAAAACGAGAATTCGATTTACTAAATTATAGTGATCGCTGTTTTTTACTACAATTAGCTACATGTTCTGTAAGATAGACACTTTTCGTTACCTTTATCCAGCAGCTCATCTCATCTAGATTCGAAACGAAAGGTGTCCATTATAAAATTCATCACTACAGAAACTCTATGGCAGTCTCTCAACAGATTTCTATGAGTTGTTTTCTATTGATCAATTAATTATGTCAATGATTCATTAGCTACTATCAGCTGTAATTGACAGCTGTTTCCAATACATAAGTAAAGAAATTGGCGCCTAACTTTTCTTTCGAATTTTCGTTTTAATTATCTCAACAGTGAACTTTGTCAAAATCGTAATTTTAGAGCTCCGATTGTAGACGAACTATAGGTTCTGTAGATGATCTGACTAAAAAAGGTACGAGTTCGATCTCGATACTTGTACTTCACGTTTCAACGAGTATTTTCTGACTTTCCGTTCTCGAGATCATTCGAACGGAAAATGACGACTTTGATGCGTACGTCGAGAAAGTAAATTAAAAAAAAAAACTCGCGAAGGACTACATAAATGCTGTGCTTCGCACCGCATTAAAAAAACTCGCGCGCGACTACATAAATGCTCCTGCTTCGCAGGGCATTAAAAAGAAAAAAAGTAAACTCGCGCACGACTACATAAATGCTGTGCTTCGCACCGCATTAATAAAAACTACAGTGAAAAGCAAACTGTTGAGTCAAGACTATGTGTACCATGTAGGTTCTTATAAATTATGAATATTCTGGAAAAAAAGAACTTGAATACTTAACTTTTTCATACCGATACACTGCAATTTGTAATTCAATGTCATGGTCCACCTTACAACTTATGAAAGTTTTAGATCTGTATGATTTTTCTATTGTAAAATAATGTCTACGATAAAAGCGTGATTCTTTACATCGTTAAAATCGTATAGTAGGAGACAAAAGTTTAGTGTAGCTATAATTTTAAGTTTTCTTTTCAATCGTAATGACTAGCAAGAATCTGAAAAAAGAACACATTTCCGTCGCTGAAAGGATTCTCGACTAGGATTGGTAAGTCCGAAGACTTCAGCAAAAGTGTTTGGATGACGATTTTTGGAAAACTAAGACACTGTAAAACTAGCTTTCTGGTTTCCATCCTGAGCCTTTGTGAAACCATTTTATTTGATAGAGACTAAGGACATGTTTCAGATCGTTCCATGATCTCTCTACATTGAACTGTATTCAATTTACAGAAAACGCCAAAGCATCAAACATAGCAAAAATAGGAGAAAAATGTTTCTCGGATCTTGTATAAATTAAACGCAGTTCAATGCAGGAAGATTACTGCGAGATCGGTGATCTATCATTTTGCCCTATTAAATTAAATCTTTCTCCTAAAACTTCGAATGAATGCCATTAATCTAGTTTTGATGAATTTTGATTTTTCATAGAACTTCCCTTAAACAATTTTATTGAGATCCTCACGTCTACGAATTCTACTTAAAAATTCTTTCAGCAACACAGTTGTTTTTTTTTCAAATTCTCACTAACTGTTATTATTAACAAAACTTAAAAATACAACCCCTCTAAACTTATAATCGTCACTTGTTTTAAGTTCAAATTTGAAAGACCATTTTTCTTATGTTTCTGAGAAGGACCATGACATTGAATTAAAAACTACAGTATCTCCGTAGCAATAAGCCAAAAACGTCCGAATTGTTTTCAGAACATTCATAGTTTATTTAAGTTTACATGTTACTCATAGCTCTAATTCATCAATTAGGAGACTTTCCACTTGAGTTCTTGTACTTTCTTAATACGATTTCCAAAAAAAAACAAAACAAGCAACAACAGCTAAAAAGATCAAATGATGATATTTACCATGGCGCATAAAATTCAGCAACTACTACTGGATGTTGTTGAATAAATTGTGTAAAATTATCTTTGCTTAAATCAAAAACAACATTTGGACCTGACAATACAGTACCATCTCCATCCGGCATTACGAATTCATCAAAAGCAAATGCGAATAAACAAGTGCAAGCTAGTATTAGAATCGAACGCATTCTAGAATAAAATCAAATAAGTAAGATAGATTAATCTCAATAAATAAAAAATAATGCCTAGTTTTGTAAATGCTGTTTTTAATTAGAGAGACTAGAAAGAAAGACAAAAAACACAACAAGAGAAAGAGAAAAACAAACAATGTGAAACAGAATGATTTTTCTACTTGAATACTGAGATACGAATATATTTAGTCAATAAGTTTTTTAGCTTTAAAATATCGTCGTAAATAGAGTACTTGCCATATAGCTAAACTCATAAGACAACACATTGAAAAAATAGAAAAATAAAGAACTTTAGTATTTGTTGATTCATTTGTATTTCGCATTTCTTCTTCACGTTCTTTCATAAAAGCAAAATCAGATACAATAGAAGTTGATAAATCTTCTAAACGATTTAATTCAATTTCTAATGGTTTAAGTTTATTAGCTTTAGCTAATGCATCATAATCTTTTGTTTCAACACCATGTTTTATATGTATTGTTACTTGTTTTGTAGTATGTTGAGATGATAAATGATGTTGTTGTTGACCATGTAATAATTTAGTTTCAAAACATACATCAAATATATCAAATTCTTCTGTTGTAAATGCAAATTTTCCTTTAATTGCATCTTCTTTATTATATAATATATGTCCTTTAGTATCTTTTACTTCAAGATGTGTAGGTAAACCAGGACGGTCAGTTATATCATAATCACCAGTAACCAAGGTATCCTTAATTAAAAAGTAACAAAAAAAAATATCAATGATAAATTTTGATACAAAATAAATAACATACTTTATGAATTTCTTCTTTTAAACATTTTTTTGTATTTAGTGGTAAATTAAAACTGAGTGAATATGTATATTGAATGAAAATGACGAAAAATATAAGGAAACTAAGAATGTTCTGCATCGATGCCAGTAATAATTAAATATTACACATTAAGAAATTGACTCAATCTGTCGATTGCTCACAATTCTTTGCCAGCATACACCACCACGTCAGGTCAGAGTGTATAATCATTTCACCAATTATAAGTTAGAAATATGAAAAAAATACAATGAAATCATTTATTTAATTTTTAAATTATTATTTGAAAAAAATCTTATCAAACATACAAATTATGATATAGCAACGATAACGGAAATAGATGGCACTAATATATAAATAATACAAATTACTAATCTTTCTGATATTCAACATATAATTACTACGTCATAATAATTTCACCAGTAATTTTATAGTTCCCTGATAAATTTAATATTTTTAATATATCATCGCTATAAACTAATATTTCCACTAAAAAAAATTATATATTTTAATGGCAAGGGGAATACTCCATAAGCTCATTACGTGTACGTTTTGAATTGCACTTATTCATTGAAATAGAAGTTCTAACACATTGTAGATACTCTCATTGTCAGATTCTCCGGAAATGTATTTTATGTTCTTTTTTCAAATTTATTTAAATATAAAAACAAGGTATGATGAAAGCGCTTGAAGTTCATTCTCATCCTATATTTTTATCAATCTTTACTTTCGATTAATTTGATGACAAGTGTTTCGAATATGATTAATATATCGTCACTCTTGACTGCTCCATGACGTACCTCATTTAACAACCTACGAATGATTATTTAGTAATCAAATAAGGTATATGAATAGTTACTCATCTGTCAATTGCGATCTTAATGTTTTTCAGACCTTATTTGTATCTTGAATGAACCACTGTACACAGAAATTTCGTTCAAATTCTGAACAACAATTTATCTAGGAATATGATATGTGAACATCTCAGCAATATTTAAAGTTTCCATCATAAAATAGTTGAAAATCAAAACAAACAAAAGTATATGGTGATAATGTCAGTCTCGTTAGGAATCTGTTCGAAATACTTAGGCCCTTGATAAAGTCTTTTCAAATCGATAAGTACTATTTCAACAACATCACTTACTACAAGTATGAATTGTAATAAAAACAGATAGAACTCGCGGGAACACCTATCAATGTTTATGATTGAAAACAGGAGTTTTATCACAACCTTCAAGAACAGAATTTAATCAACTATTTTCGTTATTTCATAGCACGGGTATATGTTTCTTGATATGGACAGTTTATGATCAATAATTCATCATATGATTGTAAGCTGTTTTTCTTGCTTTTTGACTGAATCAAGACATCAATAGTATTTCGACAGCGGCATAAAAAGAAGGAACTGTCCAATATTGAAATTATTCTATTTTTTCTTTTAGCCAATTGATTTATCAATAACAGAAAATCACGAAAAGAAATTTTATTTTCGTATAATACTACTTTTCAAAAATACCTAAAAATCAATCCAAAAAAAAATGAAAAGAATCTAATTTCTAAGTTCTATACGAAAAACAAAACAGATTACAAGATCGAGAACAATTATCCAAAATCTTTTATATCATTTTAATATTGCAATATACGTGGTGGTAACGTAACATAACGATCATCATTAATAATCGATATTGGTATTGTCAAAGGTATTAAACCCAATTGATTATTATCATGATCTTCGAGTAATTTTCCCTTGTGATTATTAGTATGTTGAGGTAAACTATCAATACGAATTTGTCGTTGCTTTTGCCAATGATTCCAAAGAGCACATACAAGTTCACCAACAAGAACTTTCGTTGCATTTGCATTAACAATACGTAATCTTAAAAATAAAAATGAAACAATTAAATCTAAAAGAATTAATATTAATAAATAAAATTTAAACTTACAATAAAATACCATCTTGTCGACAATATCGATCAACAAAAGTTGGAAGTATTTCAGTATTAAGATGTGTTGTATTTTCCGAATAACAATCAATTTGATTTGCTTTTAGAAAATGATGAATAAAATTTTTACGTGATTTGAAAGTAAAATAATGCAACCATTTTATTAAACCATAGATAGACATAATAGAAACAAAAGCAAGCCAAAACCAAATCATTAAAAAAATCTAAATATTAATACAAATTATTTTGTTTTTTTAGTTGTTTCTTTATTCTAATAAAATGAATCTTCTACTTTTTCATTATATATATTAATTGGTAGAAGACATTGAACATCATATGGTTGAATATTATCACCAAATGTTCGAAGAATAAATCGACACATAGTTATACGTGGAAATCTTTCAAGAGCTTTTATTTCTTGTCCATGAAACCATTTTTGAAGAACTTCAAAACCATATAAATAAAATTTTTGACCCATAAAAATATTGAGAAGAAAAAGTTGACCAATAGCATTAGCTATATAAAGTAATTTAACAAGAATATAACCACAAACTAAATAATTTCCAGAATGTTGACTTAAACTGCAGCATGATAAACATGAAAACCGTTTCCACGTACTAAACCTAACAATAAAAACAACAGAAGCTTTTTTGATTAAAACAAAATATATATGTATATATATAGACCATTTCATGCGAAATGAGACACATATACTTACCATTTGACTGTGATTCATTATAAGGGTAATTTTTCTGAATAAGTTTCTTTATTATAGACATATAATCAGTGCCGAAATTATTCAACAAGGTTTATTTTCAAATTTTTCCGTTATCGTAAGGGCTAGAAAGAATTCGAATAGTGATTCAAGTAGAAAAAATTATTTGCGATGGTAATACAGACAAACAAAATTATACTATCAAATTCTCAAAGATACAGAATCCAGAAAAACTCAAACCTTCTTTGGTCAACATTTAGAACTCGTAAATATAATAGACTGCATACGATGATAGCATAAGCAATTTTTCTACAAAATTAAGACGTTCTGAGTTTTCTGAAACATTTTTCTAACGAGGGAAGGTCACCAACTGTTCAATCGCTTTTGAGTCAAAACTATGTGCATCATGTAGGTCCTAATGGGCTATGAATACCCTGAAAAGAGTTCGGGCGGCTAGCCCATTACTGTCGAGATACTGCATTTTTACGATATTGTTAAGCAGAACGCCGTGGTCCTCCTCAGGAGCACCAAAAAAACTGAGTTTTGAATTTTGACTTGAAGTTTGGCACAGAAACAGACCTCAATGAGAGTGGCTTATTTTGAAAGTTTCAGATCTTTTGGTTGCTCCTATTCTGAAATAAGCACATCGGAACCTGTCGAGGGTATACGAGCAGTGTAAAAACACCCTTTTTAGCTGTATCTTAGGATAGGAACAACCAAAAGGCCTGAAACGTTCACAATAAACTACTCTCACTGAGGTCTGTTTCTGTACAAAGTTTCAAGTCAAAACTCGAAACTCAGTTTTTCTGGTTCCTAAGGGGGACTACGGCATTGTGCTTAGTTAAAAATACCATAAAAATGCAGTATCTCGACAATAATAAGCTAGCCGCCCGAACTCTTTTCAGGGTATTCATAGCTCATTAGGACCTACATCATGCACATAGTTCCGACTAAAAAGCGATTGAACAGTTGGTGACCTTCCCTCGTAAGTAAGATACAGCAATATTACGGAACCACCTAAATTTATTTTTCTACTATTTTGACTGAATAGCCATTTTTTTGACTTCAATCAAATTACTGGATCTCAGCCGAAAAACGCCGCACAGAGCTCAAAGACGTCTCATTTTGTAGACAATGGTTTATTCTAGCGTTCTATATTACATTAGTAAAATTATACTTATGTGTTCGAGATGTAAAAAAACTAGGGTTTTAGTTTTCTGAAACCTTATCTTTGAAAACCTAATAGTAATTTTTATTTCTTTAAATTATTTTTTTTTTTGGAAGAGTTTTCTTTACTTGAAATTGTTCTAGCGCCAACCACCGTGAAAAAAAATTTCAAACAAACTCTGTTGAACAGTTTTGGTTCCCATTATATGTAAAAATGTTTGCTCTTTCAGGTAAATTTTAAATAACAAAGAATTATTAAATATTTCTCTAATCATAAGACAAAAATTACGATAAAGTCTATGATACAAACCGTAATTATAGTGATCTGTTCAGCAAGATTGTACTCTAAAAACTTTCTCTTAAAAATTTATTTTCTGAAGATTCTGTCAAGTCTCCAACGAAAAATTTTTTGTTTTACCATGATCGCGTGATTCCGCGGCTTCAGGAGTTATTTATAGGAAGTACTATTTAATTTTCATAAATACTGTCTCAATTCGAAATTTTTTTAAACTTAAGCGCATAACGTGAGAGTCGATATCCTCTTCTATCACATTGCTAGTGCTAGTTTGTTTTTTTGCTGATAAATCTTCTGAATACAGATATCTAGGGTTAATTTTTTTCAAAGTATCTTTAGTAATTTAACATACATCTGACGTATAAAAGTTAACTGTGGGAAAGGTTTTTATCTCAACATACACATGTTTAAATTTGGTCAAAATCACGTCGCTATTGAATAATTTTACCCATATACTCACATAAATCCATGATGATAATCACGATGATAAGTTAATGCTTTATCAATTTGTTTAACTAACATATTCATAGCATCTTGTCGATTTTCACTATGTAATGGATCCATATCTGCTATAATACTTGTAATAACTTTTGTATCAATACCACAATTTCGATTTATCTTTCGCCAAATAAAGCCAGGTATATAGAAAAGTATCATCATACCAAAAAGAATAAATGGTACCCATTGGTAATAAGGACTAAAATCATATTAATAAATGAAAAAAAAAAAAAATTTTATTTGTTCATTTTTATTTTTACAAACATTTTTTCAGGTCGTGATTGATTTCGATTTGGAAGTGGTTTATCAAATGGTAAATAATACGATGAACTAATCCAACACACCCAATTCACATAATCGATTTTATATTTACTATCGACCATTTGTGTGAAACAATGAATTGGATTACTAACAAACTGTGTTGTTGTAACAATAATAAAACATATACCAAAAATAATTATCGAATATTTTCGACTAAGTCGGTCAAAAAAATCATCATTTCTTACACCGGGTAAACCAAGTTTACCAAATGCTTCAATAATAGGATAGAGCATTTTGAAGAGTGCGATCTTGTATCGATCGCTGAATTAATTTTGATGTAATGAAAAGATAAGAAAAACACTACTAACTGTTCAGTCACATGGTTCCTCTTTCTTTTCTATTAGGGCAAAGCATGTATATTTGTTTTGTTTACGTCTCCTTCGAACATTTAACAGAAGATTACAAATGACTTTATCTACTAGAGAAAATTTTTTTTTTTCGTATAATTCATTCATTATCAGTTTCACAGAAGTTTTATTATTACCACTACATAGGCAAAGAAAAGAAGAAGAATAAGTAGAAAAGAAACATATAATGATAGTAATCCAAATAGGTAAATATCAAGTTCTGAGCAATTCAACGTATACAAACAAAGCCAAAAAACAGGAAGAAAAAAAAAACATTCAATAATTAGAAGAAAAAAAGAACCAAAACAACATTATCATCTTCTTTTTTATTTCAAAGAATACATTTGGTCTCTAATATAATTAAAGTTTCTTTTTTTTTTTTGGTTTCTTAAATATTTATGATAATATGCCTGACATAGGCGGTAATAATTTTTCATTTCCTTCACCAGCACCATTTTGTTTCAATGAACCTTTAACACCTAAACCAATTAATTGACCACCATTATCTGATTCTGAAGATACATTCGAACGAATTTGTGGCATTACTTTCCAATTATCCCATAATGCACAAATAATTTCACCAGCAATAACATTATTAGTATTTTTTTTAACAATACGTAAAAGTAATAGACCATCTTGTCGACAATAACTATTAACAAATTCTTCAAGACGTTTAATAGGTACTTGATGATTACTTGAATTAATACCTATTGTTGATGATGGTAATTTTGATGATCTATAATATGGAATTTCATTTGCTTTTAAAAATCTACGAATAAAATTTATTCGTGCATTTGATGAAAAATAATATAACCATTTAATAAGACCATAAATTGATGCAATAGTAATAAATGCAAGCCAAAACCAAATTATTAAAAATATCTAACATAAAAAAAAAAAAAAAATTTCTCATTATTAAGAAAATAAAAATGTTTACTTTTTCATTATAAATATTAATTGGTAAAAGACATTGAACATTATATTGTTGAATATTATCACCAAGTACTCGAATTCGAAAGTCACATATAGTTATACGTGGAAAACGTGTCTCACTAGCTATATCTTGACCATTTATCCAACGTTTAATTATTTCAATACCAAATAAATTAAATCCATTACCCATAAATATATTTAAAAGAAAAAGTTGACCAATAGCATTAGCTATATATAGTAATTTAACAAAAACATATGTTACAGCTAAATAATTGCCTGAATGTTGACCAAATTTACAACAAAGAAATATTCCTACACGTCGACGAATATTATATCTAAGAATAATGGGAATATTTTAATATTTAGAAAAACAAAACAAAAGACTAAAACATACAGAAAACCATGATCATAATCTCTATGATAAGCTAATGCTGCATCAATATGTTTAGCTAAAGCTCGTACAGCTTTTTCTCTTTTTTCACCATCTAATTGATCTAAATCAGTAACCATTTTTGTAATGAGTTTTGTATTAATACCACATAATTTATTAAGATTACGCCATACAAAACCGGGTAAATAAAAAAGAAACATCATACTAAGTAAAATAAATGGAACCCATTGATAATAAGGACTAAAAACAAAAATAACAAATGATTTCTTAAATTATGAATTTCTTTTTTATAATATACATTTTTTCTGGTGGTTTTTCATAACGTGTTGGTAGAGGTTGATCAAATGGTAAATAATATGAAGAACTTATCCAACAGACCCAATTAACATAACTAGTATGACTACCTGGTATATTATGTGTATAACAATTTATTGGTTGACCAACAAATTGTGATGAACTAACAATTAAAAATGATACACCAAGTAATATCATTGAATATTTACGACTTAATCGATCATAAAAATCATCATTTTTAACATCTGGTGAACCGAGTTTACGAAATGCATCTGTGACTAAATAAAGTGACATCTAAAAACAAAAATTAGATCAAATTAAAATATGTATATCAATTAATATTTTCAAATAGGTATACTGATTGGAAAATGGTCAAATTTTAAACAGTGATATACAAAAAAAAAAGAGAACAATGAACTAATTGAGTCATCTAAAATAGAAAGAAAAATAGTTGATGGACAAGACAGGTCAGCAGTGTGAGTTTTTTTCTTTTTAATTTTCCTCCTTCTTCCTTTCTCTGTCTATGTGCAGAGTAGATAGACGGCGCCGTGTCTACCATGTGAACATCTTTTCTTCATAGGGCAACAACATGAATGTTGTATATGTACATACATAAACATATATCAACCAATCTTCTTCATTATAAGGAGACCTACGAAGGAAAAAGTGACCGATGAATCGTTCTCCACATTGTCATTCAAACTATAATAGACGAGAGGTGTTCTATATAGAGAGTGAACGTTTCGAATTTTGTTCTCTCTCTCTTTTTCATTCTTCTCACTATGCCACTGTGCTAATAATACATTTAAGCGGCCAGTCGATCGACCAATGGTGATTCATTATGTACTGATATAGCGCGCGTATACCGAAGTGGCATTCTTTGTTTCTCTCTCTCTTCGCTTATACATATTCAGTTACTTGCTACGAACGGATAGGATATATACTACAAAAGAATATATCAATATATACTGCTTTAAAATATTAATGTGAAACATAACACTTGCAATACTCAAGAAAAGCAAACCTATCGTAGATCATCTTTAATAAATGAGATCATTTTAATATTAAATATAACGAATGTATAAAACGAAAAGAAAGCTTTCAAATTCTATATTGTTTATAATTAATGAATCAGTTATATAACTAGCAACAAAAAAAAAACAAATAAAACAAAATATTTCATTTTATTTTCGAAAGTTTAATTTAAATAAAATGAGTTATATCAATTAATCAATTTAGTATAGTTATGAAAGTACTCAATGATTAATTATCTATTTGATAGGAGGAGGAAGAGTACTGCAAATTAACGTCATTTTATAATAGATGATTCATATACATAGTTAATGACAAAGATATGACATAGATGTTAATAGCTATTAGCAAATAAAAATATAAAATATAATGACATAAACAATTTATTTTATATATAAATATTTGAAGTTTTCCTTTTACTTTCAACAATAATTATGTAAGAGAAAGGGTTAAATGATGATATTGCTTAATTTTACTTCATGGAACAAGCATATTATATAAAACCATTAATGAAATGTCGAGCACAAGATGAAGTAATGTTTCTAAATTTACAACCTTTCAAAATTTTTTTCTTGTTCTGAATAAAAAAAAAAACATAAAATTATATACGAATATTTCTTACCGTTCTGTTTGTTTTATTCAAATCAAACTTTATAATTAGAAAATGTAGGTCGTAATTATTACTATTGCTGTTATTGTTATTGTGCTGACTGTTGTTACGGCTGAAAATGAGGAGAAAGATATAGAAGACATAATATATAGATTTGATAATGGCATTTTAGATGGAGGATGGTAAATGTGGGTATAAATAGAGTATGAATACGTGTCTGACCGTGAATGGTGTAGAATAAAGGAACATACAATAATTTATAACAAGAATCTTTGATATGTATATCTTATTAGACAAGCATATCGACAACTGTTAAATTGGAGAGAAAAATTTCGATAACAACGAACATAACAAAACTTTTTATTTTCTCTATTTATTCTTAAAAATATGTGAGAAATCCTTGTTTTTTTTTTTTTTTTGAAATTTTACAGAATAAAAATTAAATATGCATTGTTTTAAAAGGTCATTATATCTAAAATATGAATAAAATTTGTTGTATTGTGGTTTTTTGGATTAAAATCAATTGAATTCAAAAGAAATTGTTGTATTTATTATTAAAGTTTTTAGCTTGTAATAAAACTTGTAGATAACTTGTTCAATATTGTGTGATATATGAATAATATTTAGAGTTTTCGTTGGTTTGTCGAATTCGGAGAAGCTAAATATTGACGGATAATATGCCTGGAAAGAAGTCACTGAAAAAATTTTTCCGTCTGAACCTCGATAGATTGTTTGTCGACAACATCTCGACATTTTTGCAAATCTGACATAAAAAGTCGAACAAAGAATTACTGTACTTCATCACCTCTCATATTGAAATCTATGGTAATGCTATCAGATGACTTTTTCTTTGTTTTGCTGTTCGAGTACTTTTTTTTTCTACGACGCATATTTTTATTATTATTATTATTATTATTATCTCAAAATATACTGAAGGTATAAGATTGAAGGAAGAAGAGGGTCAGAATATTTTCTCTTATACTGCATCATCCATTTCAACATGAGTAAAATATTCAATATCCATGAATAATTTAACATTTCTTGCAGGTGATTTTGATACGTAAATTTGTAGGTGGATGCTTTCTTTCTTCTCTCCCTTTTTTTTTCTTGTTGTTGTGTAGTGTCATTAATGTTTGTGACTTTTTCTTCTAAAGTTTCCATTTGCGCTGTATATTTTCTATATTTATAATCAATTGAGTCAAACAGTAAGTTTTTTTTTTCTCGCCTATTGCATGTAAATTTTATTTGTACTTCCTTTTTCGTTCGTCTTTTACGTTGTTAAAAGTAAAATCAATATAAATAATACAACTGTGGTATTCGTTGTGTCTTCATTTTTTATTTAAATATGTTTTTGTATGTTGAGTTGAATTAGTAGGTATGTATATTGAATACAATCCTCTGTCCGATAAGTTATAACTATACGATATTTTAGTTTTGATTTCTTTTCAATGTACCAGTAACATTATTTTGACATAAAGCTTGATTAAATATAAAGGTTTGTCAATAGGATGAATATCTATAAAAATGTTTGTTGATGATAAATCTAAAGTCATTTAAAACTTTTATTTTTATTGCTTTGTTTTTATTGATTATCAATTCATTTTAAAGTTACTGATTCTTTTTTCGTTGACATGTTTTTTATTTTGTATTTATTTCTTGAATAAACTATCGTGCATAATTGAGTTCTGTTGATCAGTAGCCAACAAATATTAGTTTCTTTTTTAAAGATATGACGTTTTTATGCATCGATCGTCTAATGTTTTCTATCAATATTGTGACTTGCTTATTTATTTTGACTCAATGTAATACTATTGGTGAATCTAAATCTGTAAGTTTTCTATGTAAGCTGATAAAAAAAAAATTTTATTTAAAAAGATTTTTAGTGTTTACTACCCAATGTTTCCTATACAATTTGTTTATCTTCTGATACAAATATTGTAATTAAATCGAAATCATTTACCAGCGCTGATTTGATTAATGAATGTCATGAAGATTTCATTGAAAATATTCTTAATAAATCTTGTTCCAATTCATCATTACAATCTACTAGACGTGCAACTTTGACTTCAGCTGAAAGTAAGCCTAGCAGATAATCGAAATTTTCTTATGTTTTAACGATTCTTTTTTTATTGCAGGTTATGGCTATGGACTTTTAGCCGTATTTATCATATCAGTTTTATCAATTGGTGGTTTACTTGCTTTTCCTGTACTATATAGTGTATCTTTTAAATATGTGCTTAATTTATTTACTGCTCTGGCTGTTGGAACACTTTTTGGTGATACAATGTTTCATTTAATTCCTTTCGTGCGTATATCTTAAAAGAAAAAGTGTTCTTTCGAAATAGGAAAACTTTTATTAATATGAATAGGCACTTGATATTCATAGTCATCGTCAACATGATGAACATCCACATTCAATCTTTTCCGTACCTGATTATATATGGAAGATGTTAGTAAGTGTATCAGGTATGTGTACTAATAAAACAATATTTCTATAGATTTATTAATTTATTTATAGTGCTCTATGTTTTTTATTTATTGGAATTTTTTCTTCATTCATGTTCACATTCTCAACACGAACATGCTGTATGCTAGAAGATAAAATAAATTTTTTATTTTATAAAATGCTTTCTTTTAGCATATATTAAGCGACAATCATGCAATATCCCATCATGAACACATTCATATGAATGTAGAAGTTAGTGAATCTACACCGATGAATACTGATGTTGAATTAGTACATGATCATCAATTACATACACATATGAATCACAATTCTGATCAACATGATACAAAAGAACTCAATACAAAAGTAATAACAAATCAAATAAATGATACTAATGATAATAATAATAATAACAATAATTCAGTATGTTTTCCATGTGCCCATGTACATGGACATTTACCAACTTCATTATTTTCACATGATTTAAAAAAATATTCGTCAAAAACAAGTCGACATACACCAGTTTCAGTTGTTGTTACTGGTTTAAAAGATAACAATGGTTTGAAGAATACCAATCCATTCATTCAAAAATTGCAAAGTAAAATAAATTATTTTGTATTACTCTAATAAATTCTTTAAAATTTTCTTTTTCTCATTGCAGAAGTTGAGTCAACTGGTTGGATGGTATTGATTGGTGATGGTATTCATAATTTTGCTGATGGTCTTGCTATGGGTGCAGCATTTAGTCAAGATCTTCTTTTAGGTTTGACAACAACATGTGCTATTGCTCTACATGAATTACCACATGAATTTGGTGAGTATTTTTTTGTTGAAAGGAGTTAAAATCATTTTTGAAGTTAAATTATGATAAATTCATTAGGTGATTATGCTGTTTTGATTCAATCTGGTTTTTCACATTCTCGTGCTATTTTATGGAATTTTATTTCTGCACTAACTGCTTTTATAGGATTTTTTATTGGCGTAACATTATCAAGTAATGATCATATTCGTCAATGGATATTTGCAGTGACTATTGGCATGTTTATTTATATTGCACTCGTTGATCTTGTATGTTTTTTTCTTTTCGAAAAAAAATTTTTTTTTTTTTATAATAGTGTTCTTTTTATTTTAGTTACCAGCTTTATTATCTCACAATCGAACTAATTTAAAACGTTTTGTAATTGTTAATATTGGAATTATAACTGGTATTGCAATTATGTTTGTATTAGCTTTATTTGAAGACACTCTTATTCGAACATCAACATAGTATTATTATTTTTGTTTACAATTAGTGCTTTTTTTTCATCGTCTATATTTCTCAATAATATTAGGAATGAAGTGGCGATGTCGGTGGCACTGATGATAACCGTCACCATTGAATCCCTAAATAGTATTCTGTTTTGTTTTTTTTATCTTTTTTTTTTTTTGTTTTTGCCGTAAAAACCGGTGATAATAATAATGCATCTTTTATGTTTGATTTGTTCTACAGTTGTATATAGTTATAATTAATTATTTTATAATTAAATAAAAAATCTCAATTTTTTAAATGTAATGTATTGTTGTGTATAAACAAACGAAAAAAGTTAATTACAGAATAAAGATGAAACGGGTTTTTGAAATTATGTTTTAAGATTAATTTGAGCTTGAATACAGCCAAGATGACCTTCACTAGAACGAATATCAGCAGTTATTCGAAATGTACCTGTTAATAGAGCTGGTAATGTTGATGTTATTGTCACAGTTGTTTCAGGTATTGAATAGGTGTTAGCAGGTATTGGACAATCACATGGAATACCATATTTTGCGAAATATTGTGGACATACTTGAGCCCAAGCTTCACAAATATTACCATAATTGCATGAACCAACATTATCAATACATGGTACTTTTATATAAAGACCGTCAACTTTTCTTTCCATAGTAAGTGCTATCTATAATCCAAAAAAAATATGAAATCAATATCTTTTTTTACAGTATTAATGTACTTACATAAATATCTGTTGGTAATGCAGATGTAATATCAGCAGAAACAGCAAGAGTCAGGTCTCCTGTAATAAATGTAAACATATGTAAAAAAAAACAAAGAATTTATATTTCGTTTATGAAACGATCTTACCTGGTATTTCAACAGGGTCTGGACTAATAGTCAATGATGTTACTTGAATTGGATCAGAACTGGGACCACAATCTTCCCATGAAAAATTCAACATTTTTGATATCTTAAAAATCGAAAAATTAAAGTAACGAACAAAAATAAACACACATACACACTTACTAATTTAGGTTGTTTATAAATTCTCAATGCATTAATGTTATAAAACGTTAATAGAAATATGATAATGTATATGAAACATAAGTGAATGCGAAATGCCATGGTCTGAATACGAGAGAAAGTTAAATCTAAAACGAACACACAATAAAATTATGCTTTTTATATACGAAGATTTCTACATCTTTAAAATAGATAAAAAAAAAACCATTGTTATAGATAAGAAAAAAATAGTTTGCTTAATTTTATCATTATAAAGTAAATGCATCTTTTTAAAATACCGTCTTATCTATCTTTAACCATGGTTCGATCGCTAAATATTATCTTATACTTTGACAAAGAAAAGAATATTATGTAAAAAATAACATTATTAAAATGTACTTAAGATTCAAACAACATTATAATGTTCATCATTTAGTTTTTTGTTTAAAGAAAATGATATTTCAATTTATTTGATCATTAAGTTCGCATTCTATATTAACTAAATAAATATCTGATAGTAGAGCATATGTTTCAAATTCATACATAATTATGTTATATGAAGAAAAAAAGAACAATGTTTCATTGTGCAAACAATTTAAACTGACTATTACATACATATATTCAATACTAATATGTTTAAATAGACATACTCATTACTCAATATTTAGATACATATATGTAATTTCTTTTGTTTATTTTGAGCTTATAAAGTCAAAAGAATATGAAAAAAATGTAGGTCAATATTGGCAATATTGATTGTTATTGTTATGACAACTTTTTTTAACATTGTTAAGTATAAAATATATTACACAATTTACAAAATGAAAGAGCGGCTTTTACTAAATTTACTTAATCTCTGACGATTTATCAAATAGAAATATTCTACTATTGAAATTTATTAAATTCAATATAATTTAGATTGTAATTATATGCTAAGAAGAATAACTTGTAAGAAATCAGTAAGGTATGATATATAGATGTAGATTGGAGCAAAAACTTGCATACGTCACAAAAGAAACTATTGATAATTGTTTTCTTTTTTTTTTGTGTTACTTGACCTATTGTTTTTCTTATATCAATATATATATATATATCCCATGCAGTTCGCTTTTCTTATGTGATTCGTTTATAAAAAATAATATGATATAAGTCCTGGTATTTGACTGGATGATGTTATACTGAACGTAAATAAATATTTTATTAATGATTCGATTTGAAATATTTTGAGATGATCACTTTACATGAAAAAAAGTAGTCTTCATAGATTTTGACTGTTCCAAATAGTATAAAAACTATTTGCATTATAAATTTTATTTATAAAAATAGAAACAATAGAAACAGAGAAAAAAAAATACATATGAGTTATTCTTTATAATGTACTGGCCATTGATGCGTGATGAACAAGAAAAATGTACTAAAAAAAAGACAGATACGAACAAGACTGACTCTGCTTACTATCTTTTCTCGTCTGTCTTGTTTTTTGTCCCTCTTTCTGTCTTTGTCTTCTTCTCTCCTTTGGCCTCTACTCGCTTACATTTTTTTCGTCGTCCGCTCTCATCTATCTCTGTTTCCCTCTCGCTTACCTTCTATCACCATCACTTGCTTTATCGTATCTTTCGTTTTCTCTCTCCCTCATTTTCCCTGCTTCCTCCTCATCATGTTCTTAGTTTTATGAAGTTCTTTCACATCTATTGTTTTTGGCTTGCTCATCTCTCTCATCTGTGTCTCTTTCTTTCTCTCCCTCTCACGTTCAAGTATTTATAGTGTTTATTTTTCTATTTTTACTTTTGAGTATATTCGTTTCATTTCACTTGTACAGATAAGTAGTAATTTTATTGTTCTTCTTTCGTAAGCATCAATAGAAATATAAAACGAAAACAAACTTTGAGTGCTTATATTCATCATTTTATATTAGAAATATGCTTTTAACCAACTAAAAAAAAACCCTACTGTTAAAGACACTTTTTTTCTGCATATTAATTATAGAGAGTTTACAATGAATATTCCCACAGGGAACAATATACCTTTATTATTATGATCATATTTTTGTTGTTCTTCTATTTTGTCTAGGAAAGATATGCAAAAATATATTATCAATTTAGGACACAGTATACTGAATAAGCAGATACAATCTATCAATGTATGTACGTAGGGTTTTGAATTACTACAACCAATGATGAGATTAGCGGAAGAATGTGTGTAGCAAAGAAAAAAAACTGATATTATAACCAAGAATGAGGCAGAATAAATGAATGTTGTAGTATTTTCTTAATATCTCTGCCATTTGTTATTATTTTGAGATAAACTTTTTTTCTAATAGAAACAGCATGAAATTCTCTCTAAACCCATTGGAAAATATTGGTTGAAAAGGTAGAACTAAAACAATTTATTCGAACAGTACTATGACAATGTGTATGACTAACAAGTTTCAAGAATAAAATTGAGTATTTTTTGTATTTCTCGTGACATGGTATTGAAATATGAAAGAGTTTTATTATCCATTCTGCAGAGCTTGAGAAGCATTATTTTATTGTCATACTTTATCAATTTTCTCAGCAAACATTTTTCGTTCAAAATACGCATTCCTAGTTTGTCTTCATATTCACAAGAGAATTTATGTCTTTACATCCTTCGATTTTGTGTTCTTGAACAAACGATTTAATCGAAGTAAAAGTTACTCTTCCGATGCGAAACTTTTTATTTTATAAGTTAATAATTGAGTATAGAATAGTTTTGCCGATTTGTGTATAAATACATTTTTGCCTTTTATCAGGTTAAAGGCACAAGAGAAAGTCGGTCTCAGAATGACCTTAGTCTTCATATATGGCATGAGTTCTAGCATGTTTCATTGTTCCTAAAATAGTGCTTTAAAGCTTTTTATCAAATGTTCATTAGCCAAGAGAAACAAAAATAAAGTCGTGGTGCAACTTTTGAAAAAAATTCAATCGGAGACGATAAGAAATATCAAAGATATTGAGAAAAACAACAATGTCTGAAAACGCTCAAACGAAAGTCACGATTAGGATGTGTCAATACGTTTCTAAAAATGCTTGTCTAAATACTGAGAAGCTCGTTTATTGTACCGTATCTATTAAAAATGAATACTTTATTGACTAAGTATCTTGTAATATTTTATATTATAGAAATGCATATTATTTTTTTTCTCTCTAATCACACAATAAAAAAGATTTTGTCGTATTTCATTACACATTAGTCAGGTTTTTTTTTTGTCAATACTAATATTTGCTGTCTATAATGAATTGTTTAAGATAATAAATGATGACTTAAAACAATCAAAATTGTTTAATATGAATAATAATATAATATCGTATTCTAGTTCTCTTTCTTGTCAAATAGTTTATGTTTATAAGTCTTAATCATCATCAACATGATCAATCAATAATAATAAATTTATTTTTTCAGTTATGAAAATTTCTATACTTACCTATTTGATCTTTTTGCTTTTGGTATCATTTGCCAAAACTATCGAAGAAGAAGATAAATCAGTAAGTCTATTATTTGATATCTGTATCAATATGTATTATTTAATCATATAAATAGTGTGTTTCGGCTGACATTACCTATGCACTTTGTATTATTCGTGATACAAATGTAACAATTGTTTCGCAAATGTTTACTGGAGATAAATTTAGTCATTCATGTAATTCACATGTTGTGGAAGAAGTTTTGGGAAAACCAGTATGTGAAGAATCAACTATTGAAAAAGAAATTCCATCTACTGTTCAGCGTATGTTTGTTTTGTTTTTTTTTTATGTAATAGAATAATATTCATACTCATTTAAGTATTTGTTCAAAGTTATATAGTAAAGATGATAGGTAAATCTTTTTTTTTTTCAGGATTTGGTTATGGATTTCTTGCTGTATTTATCATATCTATTATGTCACTTGGTGGTTTATTAGTTTTTCCAATTATTTACCGAGTTGCTTTTCAATATATACTTGCAACATTTACTGCTCTAGCTGTTGGAACACTCTTTGGTGATACGATGTTTCATTTAATTCCATTTGTATGTATTCATTATTTGTTTTATTAACTTTGTTGAAAAAATTTTGATGAAAAACAAAAAAAAAAAAAAACAGAAATTTTATTTTGTTATAGACAATGGGTCTTCATAGTCATGCATCGGATGGACATGGACACGTACATGAAGCCGAAAATAATTCATTAGTTTCTATTCCTGTTTATCAATGGAGAATGTTCATTACTGTGATTGGTACGTATAGAAAAATAATTCAACTTCGATCATCTTGTTCTCTTTTTAGTTCTATATGGATTTTATTTACTCGAAGTAATCCTTCATTGGATTAGTCATTTTCGACAGAATGAAGTAAAATTTTGTTATTTGATTAAATCAATTATTTTTGTTTTCTTCAATTCATTGAATATGTAGAATTCTGCTCATTCTCATGCTCATGGTCATAGTCATACAATGCAACTTCAAGAAAAGACTAAAACTGATCAAATAAATATTCATGCAACAGTAAATATCGATGAAAATTTAGCACATGATCACCATTCACATAATCATATTCATCATCATAACTATAATGAAAGAGATCCAACATTGGCATGTGTTACTAGAAATTGTTCTCATCATGATGATATGCAACAAGTATCAGCATCACAAGAAAAAGTCAATACTAATGAAAATAAGTCAGATTCTCAAAATTCATGCAAAAGTATATTTGTATATTAGAGAAAAGTTCTAATGAGTGTACTGAGTTCAATATATCCATGTACTGAAACTATTATGAACAGGATACTTTTTTGGATACTTCGCTTAGACCGATTACTTTTTGATCGAGACTATATTCAGATGAAAGGCTATGATGATCAATGTAAAAGTCTAAGAGAGTTTGTTTGTTTAACTCTTTCACCTTGAGATATCGAATGTTTATTCTATTCTTTAACAGAAAATAAATCGTTGAAAAAATTTCATGAACTTAAGTATTTAGTATCGTGAGATATTAGTATACGAAGAATAATTGCCATTTTCTATCAGAAGATTTTTCAGTATTCATATCACACAATAGAAGAACAGAAAAATAAGGAGATTTTTATATTGAGCTATATCATTAAGATCTTCATTTATGGAAAGTTTCAGGTCGAAAGTCAATTTTCATGATGACCTGATAGGAATTACAACTTTCTGCTAAAAAAATACTCTAAAAATTTGATATGTCAAGAATAAAGACTCCGACAATAGAACTCTCTTAGAATTTTACATTATTTAGTGTGATCTCTCACCTGAATATAGACTTTAAATGGCAGGATACTTTGAACTCAGTACATTCACTGATGAGATTTATTTCATGATTCATCTTGGTTTTAGTTACACGAGTTACTGGTTGGATGATAATTCTCGGTGATGGTATTCATAATTTTGCCGATGGTTTAGCCATTGGAGCTGCTTTCAGTGAACGTCTTATGTTAGGTCTTACAACAACAATTGCAATAGGTTGTCATGAATTACCACATGAATTTGGTGAGTATTTCATATATATGAAAAATCTGTGAGAGCTCATTCTATTGTAAATATTTGAGCAAAATATGTTTATTTGTATTCTTCTGCAGAAAATTTCGAAATCATTTGAATTAATTTAATTATATAAACATCGATCTCGAATATTTTACTATTTTAATGAAAACGTACAAACAGTAGATTTTTCTTATTCGGAGAGAGATGACTGTACATGAATATTTCTAAAGGTAATTCATTTAACATGAATATAACCTATTTTTGGAGAAAAAAAAGCAGTTATTGTAAAAGATTTATTTCTAAGATAACGTTTTATTTTAGGAGATTATGCAGTATTGATTCAATCAGGTTTTTCTCATAATCGAGCAATATTTTGGAATTTTATTTCGGCAACTACTGCTTTGATTGGTTTTTTGGTTGGTGCAGCTGTATCGACGAATGAAAGTGTTCGTCAATGGATATTTGCTGTAACAATTGGCATGTTTCTTTATATTGCATTAGTCGATCTTGTAAGTTTCGATAAAAGAAAAGTATTAAAAGAAATTCAATTGAGAATTTAATGTTATTTTAGTTACCTACGTTAATATCTGATCGAAATATTGAATTCAAACGTTTTATTTGTGTAAATATTGGATTTTTATTTGGTGTTACAATTATGTTTTTATTGGCGGTATTCGAAGATAAAATAGTTCAATTAGGATGATAATATTCTCGTTTATTTTTTCAAATGAATCGATGATCTTATTATTTATCTACTCATATCAATGATTCTCTTTCGTAGTTACATAGTTCTGTGGGCTTTTCTTACTTTGCTTTACGAAGGTTTTTATATTAGTTTTCTATTTAAATAAAAGTTTGCCTAGCATCAGACAGATTAAAAGAATAATCTTTCGACTTTGTTCAATGAAAATGTTTTGTTTGCCAATTAAGAAAAGATTTGGTAACGATATAAAAGAATTTTATATTAAACAATTTGAAAAAACTACTTATCTTTAAGAGAGACAATATAGAAAAATGATGTGTTGTTTGATCAGTAGATTCACAAATAATACATTGTTTACCGTACTACGACATTTCTAATTTTCTATTATAAATTGTCGAACATCATAAATCATTGAATCCTATTATTATGATATTGAAATGATCTTTGATCTGAAGGATAAGCCCGTGTACAGGGTATTTTAAGGGTCCTTCTGAACGAAAAACCGGATCATCTCTTGAAGCGTTCAAGCGATCTATAAATACCAGAATCGAAACAGTTTAATTGATGGCTGGATTTGAGTCACATCAATTGTAAAACGAATTATTCTAGTCGAACCGGGCATAAAAATGGTAAATGAAGAAGATATTGAAGGAATCTCTACACGCTTCTCTGAGACTCATACTTGAGCAGGTTAGTCATATTCCGTGCACCCTGCGAATGTGGGTTAAATCTTTTCTGAACACCCAGATTTACACTCCACCCACACCCACACCCTTAGTTTTCAACGAACGTACAATGATGTAAAAAATATGAATTAATAAATAAATGTTTCTTTTCGAAAAGTAAACATTTACTAAGACTCTTCATGGTTTTGATAGAAATAGATATATTTTTTTTCTATTGATTATAGATGAGATAATGTCTGAATTAACTACTGGAATTAGATAATACATTAGTTGTTTTTGTTTCAGCTAAACATTGACTAAGTAATTTAGATGTAGTAGATGAATAAATCATTTTTTAACCATATGAAATGTCAATTATAGAACGAGTAGGCATCGTGCATTTTTGATATTTTCATTTTGTTCTTCATCTATGATATGCGATCTAACACGATAAGATACATTTCCCGTAGAGATGAATGTCTAGTTTTAAGTTTATTCATTGTCGTTATTGATAGTTCGATTTCTTTTTGTTAATTGTAGCGTATTTCGAGAGTTAAGAGAACAAGTGAAAAGTAACTCATTTATTATAAATTTGGATATGAAAAAATTTTTTTATCAAAAGATTAACAAAAGAGAAAAGATTTGAATCAAATATTTTCGATTTCTTCCACAACCTATGTATAGTATCTTCGACATACTCATTGATCAAGACAATGTTACCATTCGTTTCTTTTTTATTTGTCTTGTAGTATTCGAAACAACAATATTAATGAAAAGTCTTTAGTCCACGAAGAAAATGTTCAATATGAAATCAACAAATTGAATAAGTAAACTTGTGGATACTTACAAATAAACTTTTCTTTATCTCATTATTTTATTTTATTTTCTTTTTGGTTGTATTTTTTCTTGTTTCTTGTCATATTAGACTTTATGAACACTTATGTTATGTAATATATCGATTTGAATAAGCATTGTTATCATGATGTAGTACATTTTGGAAAAATTCTATTACAAACTTCTACTCAATCAAAAAGAACCATTCTGATACATCTCATATTAGACAATTGTTGGTCAATGCTGATAACGTTAAATTGTAATTGATATCATGTGACTAAAACTTCTCTAATATTTTTTTTCAGTCAAAAGTTCGATCAGTGTAAATTGGAGTCAAAGAAAACATTGAGAAAAAAAATTTCACAAGTTCTTAGATGTTAAGACTTAAACCTCTGGTAGTAGGACTGAACTCGTCGTGGTCCTACCTTGATTTTGCCACTAGAGTTCTACAGGTTGCTAAAATTCGTGATTAAAGTTTAATAGATGTTATAACAAAAAGGAAATACATATTTCTATATGTTTAATATAATTAATAGTAAAAGCAGTTTTTTTTGTTCAAATAATGTCTGAACTATCTCAGCTTCAGATAAATCAACAATGTCCACGACCTTAGCTATAATCGTTTTGAAGATCTTTGGAACTATTATCTTCCTTGGTATCATTACTTTTTCCTCGATGTTCTTGTTCAAATAACGCCATTTTTCCGTGTTTTTTATCATCAAAATTGATGAAACCCATGCAGTTAGCTAATCGCTTTGCCAATGCTGGTCCCTTAGTTCATTAGGAATCGACATTTTTTTATTTATTTACAATATATTAGAAAGATGTTTAAAGATTGTATTTTTTTTCATTCCAATTCTGGATGTGGGTGTGGATGAACAGCACGTCTACACCTACACCCACTCACACCCTCAAGAAGGTAACTTTATTGTTTGTAGTATTTCATCTGTGTTATTATTAAATTGAATGATTATAACTCACGAGAACTAAGAAAAGAATGTTTATTTTCATTTGGCGGTGGGTTCGAAATCCTGAGTGATATTGATCTTTGAAGATTTTCTTCACGTTCTTGGTTTCACAAAAACTTCCAAGATAAAACTTATAAAAATATCGAAACAAAAAAACGTATTTTATTTGCTTTCAATGAGTTAATGGATTTTTATCCACTTTAATCAGAGAAATTATTTAAAGAATGATCCGTCAGAAAACAGATCAGTCTCACACAGCGTAGGGCGTCGCTTGCTTTTTTTATAGCTTTAATCGAAGATTATATTCAAAAACTTATAAATCCATAATATCACATTTTTCTGACGTTATTCCGAGAAATGCCGCACATCACACTCGACCATAAAAATTTTATAAAAGGCTTTTCTCGTACCAATGGTACTTGAAGGTTTTGCCTATTGCTGCTCATTGCTTTACGTGGGAGAATCTGTCAGAAGATGCTAAAAAGAATTTTTTACAGAATGTAGTATTTCAGCACTCATTACAACACGTTTTAGTGGTCGTTCTTTAGATAGAAATTTCTCTTTGATCTCGTCGAATGGTTCCGTCCCAAAAACATAAATTGAGTCTCTGGGTGTGGGTATGCTGACCTTCTCTTCATTCTCACCCACGTCCAGCTCACATCCGCGTTTATCAGATGTGTCACAAAAATTCTGTTTATAGCTGCTGAGAAAAGTTAAACTAGATAGAATTGAGTCTTATTAAATTCATTCGACATGATAACAAGAAAAGCAATCAAATCAGCTAATAGTCATGAATCATTGTGAATGTTGAAGAAAGATTGAACAAAATCTAATCAAATATTATCAACTAACTGGAATCTATCGAACTGTAGAAAATGCTGTACTACTATTGAACATCGTGGTTTAATAAGTGTAACGAATCAAAACAATACATGTAAACAAGAATGTTGTTAGAAAGTCTATTTAAGTTAAACAACTTGTAATATTTGTAAAACCCCATCAATATTCAATGAATGCATGGAATAATATTGCCTGGGGTGGTGAAGTATCGTTTGCAGTGTTCAATTGAAAAAACAGTCCTTCTTTTGTGGTTTGAAATCTGCTAGTAGTGAGCTATTCAGTTTTTTTCCAATGCAGGCACGCTGCCTGTGACACTGTTAACATGTGAGTGTGGATATCAAAAGGCGTTCGCCGTTCAATAACCATCGATAATGGAAGATTGAATAATCTTGCATAGGTAAAAACAGTCAAAGATGCCGTCTCTATGTTTATTCAGAATGCATGTGAGACATAAAATAAGAATCGGACTTAGGTGCCGCCTAATGCAATACCTTATACACAAAAAGAATTCAATAAAATGGATGAAAGGTAATTATATTAGTATTTTAAAATGGCTAGCAAGTTCATCTAATCTAAATCCGATCGAGAAGTCTTGAGATCGTTTTCATAACGAATTTCAATAAATCAACACCATCGAATATATGATAATATGTGTAAAACACTGTATTGGAGCTTGCTGTAAAACATTCAGTAAATATTGCAAAGAATAAATGAAGAAAATTCTTGGAAGTTCCAAGTGAGTATAGATTTTATCAAAGGGAACAACGTTAACTGTTTTTTTTAAACTTTATTTGTAACAACTCTGTTATATATGGTAGTTTGCTCAATAAATATTAAAACAGCACGTGTGAGACCAAATATGGGTAGTGACTTTGAAACAGAAAAGTGATATTATGGCCAAGAAAAAAAACTCGAGAGAAATCCAAAAAACGCTATAGTAATATTCTACACAATAGATAATAATTTTCACTCACTCTTTAACTACTAATTTTGTTGATGGCATCTGTGACTTCTCCAGTAACACATAGCTCATCAAAAATCTAAAAATGTAAAACAGAGTTTATCCTCACTATACAATTGAGTATACATTTGACAAAATAACGTTTTTAGCATACTCGCAACAAGTTTCCTTCTATTTGCCGTTCAACCTATATAGTAATTGAAAGAGTACGATTCATTTCCCAAGACGACAATTCTGACTATCGTAAATGACCTGAAACAGTATATTGTATATCACTCCGATATAAGGAGAGTGCATTGAAGATAGTTGTCGCGTAGAAATGATGTGATATTTTATTGAAGACATAAAAGATGAAGACGAAAGCTTTATTAATGTCGGATTATAACTTTACAAGATTGGGTACGGGATTTTTGCTCGTATATACTTTTCTGTAAATATGAATTTATCAATATTATTTAGGTTTTCACTTATTTAAATTACTATTTCTATAGACATGTTGATTATGGGTGTGGATGTAATTGCATTTAGAGAGAAGTCTCTTACTAACATCGATACCCATACCTACACACTCAAAACAAAACCTTTTTTTTATTTATTGTTGTATTTGTAACAGATAACAATGTAGGTATTCCTGCACAACAGTAGTGTTTTATCGAACTGTACACATATAAAATGCTACATTCTATCATTGATAGTGTCAAATTATAGATTCTAGTGTTTACAGCTGCATTTATTGATTGAAACTATATTCTTTTTATAATAAAATTTAACCTATCAATAATGACAAACTCAAACAACTGCTCACTGTAATTAAACGAAAGTCTAAAAAAAGATGTAATCAGTAATGTTTTCGAGCATTTATTAGTACTCTTTGTTCTATTGTTTTGTTGTAGTACTTCTATTGTTTTTTACTTTAGCCGAGAAATAAGCAATCTTCAGTATAAGTACTTGATAAAATTTTATCAGTACTTTTTTTTGTTTTGTTTTCAAAGCTCGACTTCTGTAAAGAGTATAGGAAAAAATATCCTACGAAGAATATATATATATTAACAGAAATATTTAATAAGAAGCACGTATTAATATAAAAAAAGTATTTTGTTTTTATCTATTATCAGACTTTAGTCTTTTCTCTTGAAAGAATGTAAGACCTTTTCTTTATAAAGATATTTATCGTCAATAAGCGGAGAAAAACGTTATTTCATATGTGAGCGATGTGAAAGAATTTCTATAGTTGATATACTTTCAATGTAAGTGGGAATTTATATCAGATTAGGTCCTGTTTCGTCGAAAAAATAAATTCTGTTTAATCAACGAAGAATAGATTATATCATTTGATGAGATTTTTCGTCATACTAATCAGGAATAGTGTCTAAGTACTTGTAGATCAGTTTGTCAAAAAAAAAACTTTATTATCGAGCAGATTTAGATACATAAATAATAAATTATTAAGAGAAAATATGAACATAGAAAAGAAATAAACCAACACTTTTTTATTCCAATTAGTCTCAGAAATTTTTCAAGAAATTTATTCAACGTTAATGTTCGTTGTTTATAACGTTCATTTAATTTATGTAATCGTACATTTCGATTTACAAATAACTTTTTTCGTGATGGTAATATACCAGTTGTTAAAAGACATGATGAGAGTGAATGTAAGTGTAAGAAGAAAACATTCACATGCACCCACAACATCCATGAACGATTTTCACATTTCCAATAAACAGTTGTATTTAAAATTTGATTTTATGTGTAGCGAAAAGTATCAAGTATTAAATTTGGTATATTACGTTTACTTTCAACAATAGATAGCATTATTTTGTGTAATAATGAATGAATATAGAAAAAAAATTGAATTTTCCCTTTTCCTCCTCATATTTATACTTTTTCAAAAATACAGATTACTAGTATAGGGATATCTATTAGGTTTTTTTTAAGGAAATAGTTTAAGTCAATCAAAGAAATCTAGCTTATCACTCTGATTATACTATTTTTCATGACAGTTTAATTTTTCGACGAAACGGGAATCCACCTTATATCAACTATATGTATTACCTTTACAACAAATATTACGATCGATATTTATTTTTTTCTTTCTGTATTACAGATATGCAGTTTTTGCTTGTGATGTGTTTTATCATTTTACTCTTGGTATTATTTGTCAACAATAGTAATGCATCGGTAAGTTTGAATTGTTTCATATATACGTACCATTGTTTTATTCATTGATATGAATAGTGTTTTCTATCTAATACTACCTATACACTTTGTTCATTGAATCATACAAATATAAGTAATTATTCAAAATTATTTCATGAAGTTGAATTAGCAAAACATTGTCATGAACATTTTGTTAAAAAACTTCTGGGAAAATCATGTGGTTATCAAACAACGAACTCTCCAATGAAACATAAAATACCAACTATTGTTGAAAGTATGTTATTCAAAGCATTTTATTTCGATATTCAATTGAACTTTTAAAATATCATCTTTTGTTTTTTAAGAATATGTTTATGGTTTTATTGCTATATTTATTGTATCAGCTCTGTCATTAGTTGGTATATTAACTCTTCCAATTCTTTATAAAGTGTCTTTTAAATATGTACTTAATTTATTTACTGCTGTTGCTATTGGAACACTTTTAGGTGATGCAATGTTTCATTTAATTCCATTTGTATGTTTTTAAAATGTTTCTTTTTTTTTTTTTTGGAATAAGACAATAGAAAATTCTTTATGTATTTGATATCATAGATCTTTGATTGTCATAATCATAATATGAATGATTATAATCATGATCATTCATCATTTCTAATTCCAAGTCATCAATGGAAAATTTTATTAGCTGTATTAAGTATGTTTTGCAAAAAAGGAATGCTATGTTCTTATGTATTGAACACATGTTTTCTTTTTAGTTCTTTATATATTTTATCTATTAGAAATCTTTCTTCATTGGTTTGTTCATTATAAACATGATCATGTAAGATTTTATTTCGAATATTAATTTATAAAATAAATTTATGTAGATTTCAATACATTCACATATACATAATCATTCGAATAAAACTAATGAACTTATTCATTATACACAAGTTGATATTGATGCTGATATAGAACATAGTCATCTTCATCATAATCCTACACATCATAATTTACATCAACATTTAAATTCACCATCAATATATTCGAATGCAAGAAGTTTTTTTAATAATACAAGTTCACCTTGTATACCATGTAGTTATTCAAATGAACATCATCTTACAACAAATTCATATATTGAATGTAATGTAAAAGAAAAATCATTAAATGAACAAGTATCACTATCACAAAAAATGTATACTTCACAAATTAGTGATGAAATTGATCATATTCATCCAATAATACAACAATTAAAAAGTAAATTAGAATGATGAATCAAAAATAGAGATATGCAGAACCAAGTTTACTCGTTTTGAGTTGTTTCTCTTAAATTATTTTCTGATGAGTTACAAAATAGTTTGTTTAGAATTATAGAATATTTTACTGTAAACTTGTGTTTTTCGACTTTAGTAAAGTTTTATTATTAGAATACTAATAATCTATTGTTTTATTTTATTTAGTAATTAAATCTACTGGTTGGATGATATTATTTGGTGATAGTATACATAATTTTGCTGATGGTCTAGCTATTGGTGCTGCATTTAGTGAAGATTTAATGTTAGGTATTACCACAACAATTGCTGTTGCTTGTCATGAATTACCACATGAACTTGGTAAGTAATTGAGAATTGTTATGATTTTTTGAAAAGTTCAATAATAGAACAAATAAAACAATAATTTCGAGTCTAGTTTTTATATTAAAATAAATCACTCTCCGAATACTATTAAACTATTTTTGTTCAGATGCTATCTGCATATAAAAAATGCTTTTTCTTCTGTACATTATGTAAATGTGTATGTGCGAAGTCTAGATTCCATCGAATTCAAGACTTTCGAACTTAGGTCCAGAGCTGAGACAAGCCCAACAGATTCTAATGAGTCTTCTCTTTGTCAATCATTTCGTCCAAGTCATATGAGTAGCTCCAATCATCGTTAAAAAACTTTGAATATTTGAAAATTTTAAAAACTCTCGTAGGCTTCTATGGTGACGAAAGGTTTGTTTCTTAGATATTGATTGTTTGTATGAAAAATGATTTAAGTGCTGTTGGATTAAACCTAAGAAATTATAAAGAATCTTTTTATTTAGGAGATTATGCTGTTTTACTACAATCTGGTTTTTCACATTCTCGAGCATTATTATGGAATTTTCTTTCGGCAACAACTGCTATTATTGGATTTTTTATTGGTTCAATTATGTCAAATAATGAAAATGCTCGTCAATGGATATTTGCAGCAACTATTGGCATGTTTTTATATATTGCATTAGCTGATTTGGTATGATTTTAGTGTAAAACAAAATATTATTTTGATATTTTTTCTTTCAGCTACCAACATTATTAACTGATGGAGAACTTGAACTAAAACATTTTCTTGTTGTTAATATTGGTTTTTTATTTGGTATAGCAATTATGTTTCTTTTAGCATTATTTGAAGATAAAATACTTAGATTATCAACTCGATAATAATCTATACGTGCTTTTCTTTTTTCTTATTAAATAAAATAAAAATTAAAGAAAACTTTTTTCGTTTTTTTTTTTTTTATGTTGAATAAAATATTATAATAAAAAGATTAAAATAACAAAATAGAGGTCAATAAAAGCTGGAATGAAACATATTTGAGCATATATTTGATTATTTCTTAATAGTTAATTCAATATTAATACAGGCAAGATGACTTTCACTTGAACCAATATCAACTGTTGCTCGATATTCACCTAATAATTCTGGTGGTACATTTTTTTTTAGAAATATATTTGCTTTCGATACAGAATATGTATCTGCTGGAATAGGACAGTCACATGGTAAACCATATTGTGATGCATACTTTGGACAAAATTCAGCCCATAACTCACAAACATTATCATAATTGCATGAACCAAAATTATCAACACATGGAACTTTGACAAAAAATGGGCCAACTTTACGTTGAAGTAAAACTACTGCCTAGAATAAAAAATTCAAAAACAAAAATAAATATATTCTATAAATAAATATAGTTAAATTGAAAATACATGAACATCTGTTGGAATTTGAGATGCTACATCAACAGAACCGGTAATAGTAATATTTCCTGTAAAATTAAATCTTATAAATGACATAGATCATAATACAGTAATTGTCAAAAGTCACGCTATCAGATTAAGATTACTTAAAATTAATTTTTTTTGCGTAGTATTTTTACTAAAAATAGAGTTCAATAAATTTCGATTGGATTTCTAATAAAAACACTGTTTTTTTTTTTCGAATACCTTGAAACAACTATTTTTTACTCTGTCATAAACATGAAATTCAATCTGTTGTGATCCGAAGCATAGATCTCGTCCAATTGGTTCCGAATTAGTCTCCGTTCGAAAATTTCTAGGGAAATAGACGATATGAAAGATTTCTTATTGGCGAATCGCGGTGATTTTCATTCAAAAACTACCGATAGATAACTTCAACAACTGGGCAAACTACAAATATTTGACATGAAGTTTTTATCGGTAATCTTTAATGAGTAATGTTGCAGCATTTTTGTGTAAAAATAAAAGATCTAGATTGCTCTTCTAGTTCTTTCCAACAAAAGACAATCAAGTTTTTCTTGCTGTTTTTGTGACCAAAGCATTCATCTTGATATACTCTTCATCAAATAGCAGGATTTTTGACAATTAGTATAGTATTTATAAATTTACCCGGCACTCTAATTGGATCGGGACTAATATCAAGACTTTTCAATTGAATTGGATCATCACTAGGTCCACAATTGTCCCATGATAAATCAAAATCGGATGATATCTATTTCGAGACAGAGATAATCAAATTATCTATGAATCGAACAATAAACATATTTACTTCCAAGTTTAATGTATTAACATTATACAATGATACAAAGAATAAAGAACTATAAATAAGAAATAAATGATTATTACAGATCATAATGTTGATGGAAGTCAATATCTAGAAGAAAAAAAAACGCAACAAAATTAACAATAAAACATTTGCGAGCAAAATCATCAACCGAAAATTATCACTTAATTAACGAAAACAATTTGTTCTAATAAAAAAAAAAGAAACAATTATAAAATAATTTTTGGACCAGTACCAATTTTTGTTAGAACAATTCTTTCAAGAACATTAGGCATAATTGATAAATTAATTGAAGGAAATTTTTTATCAACATTTGATACTTGTTTATGAACATCATCATTCATAGTTGGATAAAAATATTTCAATAGGCTCAAAAATTCATCAACATGTTCTTGTCGAATGAAACAAAATGGATTTGGTCCAGCATCAAACGTATAAGCAACTTTCATTGTTTGATTTCCATCCATATGATTATAAGCATGAACAAGATCAATTAAATGTTTTGATTGTTCATTAAGATAAATAACTGGTGGATAAGTATCCATACATACAGCATGAAATTGACTACTATCCATCATAGTAATCTTTGCAAATGTATTAAAATCTTTAGTTTTAATTGCTTCGATTAATTTATTTATTTTATCATTTATTGTTGAAAGACGTGCTTGAAATAATGTTGATGTTTCTCTTGTACGTTGCATAGCATCTGTTGATGAAACAGGTTTTTTACTTGAATTAAATATTAAAATTATAATTCGAAGTTCTGGCCAATGTTCAGCTGGATAAACACATGATGAAAGACATTCACCTTCACTTGACCATCGTACAAAACCACCATAAACACTTCGTATAGCTGAACCACTACCAATACGTGCTAAATAAGCAGCTGTTGATTGAGAACCATCAAGTTGAAATAAATTCGTTAAAGCAATAGCTAAACTTGCATATGCTGATGCACTCGAAGCAAGACCACTCGATTCTGGAAATGTATTATGTGAACGAATTTCAACAAATTTTATTTGATTATCTTTTGATCTACGACGAACTTCTTGAAGAACTTTTTTCATTCGTTCTGAAAGTTTTGTTTGTTGAATACCATTAAAATAAAATATATCACATGTCATAGATGATGATGTTGAAACAGTTGTATATGAATGCATATCACTAAGATCAAGTGTTATACTTAGTGAATCATTATCAGGTAATATAAGTTCTTCATTACGTTTACCCCAATATTTAATAAGTGCAATATTTGGTGAAGCTTGACATGTTACTGAACGATAATCAATATCGTTAGACATATTTAAAATAATCTAGAAAATAAATTAATTATAGTTTTATTGTAAAGTAATAGATGATTTTCCGCCAATTTTTTCAATAAGACGAATATTTCGAATTTCAATGGATTTACTTAGAGCTTTGCACCTGAGTATAAAAAAAGATAAACTAATGATTTATTATTTTCTTTTTTAAATCTTTAATACTTACATATCATAAATAGTAACAGCAGCAATTGTAGCACCAACCATAGCTTCCATTTCAACACCAGTTTGATAATGTGTTGAACAAATACAACGAATAAGAACTTCATTTTCTTCATGTCGATGTTCATATTCAATATCAATATGTGAAAGTGGAAGTGGATGACAAAGGGGAATTAAATCTGATGTACGCTAAAAAAAGTTATATTTTTTATTAGAAATCTGCTATTGAAAAAAACACAATAACTAACTTTAGCTGCAAGAATTCCAGCTATTTTAGAACATAATCGTGCATCACCTTTTTTATTTGTTACATTAAAATAGGATTGATATGTATGAGAATCAGGAAACTTAACAATAGCTTCAGCAATTGCTCGGCGTTGACTACTGGCTTTATGACCAATATCAACCATAGTAATATTTCCATCAGATGTAATATGTGAAAATGTAGAAGAACACGCATATTGACTAGAAATTCGATTAAAAACAAAAGAAAATTTCCTGAATAATGAAAACATCTTTATCTTAAAATAAGAAAAAGAATACACAACAAGTTTAACAATGGTTTTTATTTATTTTTATTTTTATTAATTCATTCAAAACAGTTATTTTTTCTTTTTTTCTTTGAATTCACTTTTGATGAAGATCTAAAACGATATCAACACAATAATAATTATATTCATATTTTAAATAAATACGAACTTATCAGATGATTCTTTTGTTAATTTTCTTTTAAATTGTGACCATACTTCATCATTTTCGATTTCTTCATTGATTGTTTCAACGTTTTTTTCTTGTTGTTCTTCTCGATTTGATATTGAATGTGGTGAAAAAAGTACAGATGTAAGACGAGATTTTAAATAAAACTTAAAAATCAATTTTTTTCTCAAAAAAAATGTAAAAATGCTAGAAATTACTTTTGATATTTGTCGATATGTATCTGCATTATGAATACGAACATATTGATCAATAGAAGCTGATGCTATTAATGGTAATGTTGGATGTGTATCAATCGAACGTATACTACCAATAACACCTTTATATTTATGTACGATAGCTGATGATGATAAACGTTTAATATCAAATTGAGCCATTTCACCTTGAGTATTACCAACAATAAAATGTCTAAGAAAAACAAAAATTAAGTTCATCAAACAAAGTTTGTTTTTTTTGAAGAATTAAAATGTGAAATACGATGTAATTACTATTGTTAATCATCAAGAGATTGTTTTATTCTATCTATTTTGGAAAAAATTTTTTCATTCTACTTTAACTTATGCAATAAAGAAATAGTTCATCTATTAAAACGAGATGCTATTAATATAAGGTTTTTGGCATGAGGGGAGTAAGATTTAAATTTTTATCGCTATGTTTCAACAATCCTTTTAGATGGTGTTTATATTAAATGAATGTTGAGTATACGAACTCATTATTAGACGAATGAAGTAATGCAATAGACATAATTGGATATTGTTCAAATTCAATTTCATTAACAGGTCGACGTGCGTTTGATTGTGGATCATACAGACGAATCTAGCAGAATGAAATGAATTGAATTGTTTTAAATTCGAAAAAAAAACATCTAACTTGATGATGTCCAGTTACTACCAGACATCGATTTCGTTCATCAATAAATTGAAAATCTGTTATCCAAACTGGCATTCGTAATCGAACAGCATTTGGTCGTATCTAGAAATAAATAAATTTTGATAAAATTAAAAAAATTTATTCATCTAATAATAATTTTTTACATTTTTTGCTTGAAAGATAACTGATTTATTTTTTGTTTTTTCATTTTTCATTAATTCTTCTATGGACCATATTTTTAAATCATTTTCTTTACCACCCGTACCAAAATATGTTCGATTAAATGGATTAATACGTAATCGACATATATCTGGACCAGCATTTGCTTCAATCTAATTTAAAAAAAGATTCATGAAAAAAAAATAAATAAAGAAAATTTCTTCTATCTAACTTCAGACACAAGAGATTCTTCTTTTATACGATCAATTGATAGGACGCCATTTTCAGAACATGTAAGAAATCTAAATTAAAAGAAAAGTATATTACAAAAATGATAAGATCATAATACAAACCTATCTTCATCTAGATAAGCTAGACCTCTAAGTGGACTTGAACGAGCAATAGTACCAATCTGTTGGATTGATTCATCAGCAAATTTTAAACGTAAAATATTATTTTTCTTTGTTGTAATAAATGCCTAGTAAAGATATCAAATGATTAGAAAAAAGAAAAATAATTCTTAATTATTATTTTCATTTTTACCTGCATGTAATCAGTCTCATTATTTGCTAATGACCATTCAAGAAGAGTAATAGCATCAGCATAAGTTTCAGCTGGTTTATGAATTACATATATACCATTGTTTGTTGTATCAATACCTTTTACAATACCACTTTCACAACCAGCGAGAATATTAAAACGTATGGTCATATTTATCTAAAAAAATAAAACAAAAGTAACTCGTCGAGTTGAGTTCGATCTCAAATATATCTATTTCATCATCACATCCCTTTATCTATACTAGAATATCTAGAAACACCATATCAGTATAAAGGACTCCCACATCGATAAATACGGACACACCATATACGTCCGTATTACGATTGTATATCTCACATACTTAAGAGAGCAATCATGACACAATCAAGTACATGAACCACTTGAAAAAAAAAGAAGTTTTCTTTGTTTCATTCATTCAGTGCATTGATATTTGAAACTACTAACTCCAAAATTTTAGCGTTCAATATCCTTTCTCTTAAAATCTAGACAAAACTGACTTTTTACCACTACCATACCCTTATGAAAAAAAAACAGTAAAAAATTCATCTGTAGTCTTATAAGAGTGAATATTGGTGCAGTAAGAAACATTTCTAAAATGTATGGAATTGAATGTAGTCTTTGATGTTAATTTCAAATACCATATTTATTTCGCTTCATACTTGTATCAAAGCAATTATGTAAAAGAGATATGTGAACCCTGTTTCGTTCTGAAAGTACTATTTATTTTTGAATATTTTTCTAGTATTTTGTAGAGAATAAAAACTTGCATAAGATACATAAAACTCCGTTCGGAACTCTTTGATTATGAGTGTTGATAGGAGATAGATTGTTATCAAATGATTACTTTAGACTTTGAAAAATTCATTTTTTTCATTGATGTTGATTTGATAAAACTTAAGTTGATCAACACCGCATTATATTTAAATAGGTCATTTTTTTTTAATTTTTAATTCTCTATATTTTATAAAAAAAATCAAAGAGATTTGTTGAAATGAAAATTAGGATAACTTTTATAGAAAATTTTTTATATAATAGGAGTAAAATGTCGAGATCGACTAGATTTTAATAAAAAAGGGTATTGATCGCTAGAAATTTGGAGTTGTTGATTTCGAAGATTGATATGCTGAATGTATACAAAGGAATTTCTTGTTTTGTCAAGTATCCTCATGATTCCTCTTCTGAATAATTCTTTCATATCCATAATAGTCTAAGCGTAGGCTATCAAACTTATTCTATTACATTATTACGCATGAGTTTTATTCTTAGCAAGCAATATTAGTT